TTACTTTTATTTATTTTGATACAATACTGTTTTGTCAACACCCCTTCCATTTTATTTAAAGCTATCTCTAACTCCTTCTTGCTAGATGCTAAAACTGCTATATCATCTGCAAATCTAAGCGTACTAATCTTTTGCCCTTGCACATCTATCCCTACAGTTATACTGTCTTTAATGATGTCGATCGCGTCTTCGATGTGTAGATTAAAAAGATGCGGTGACAGTGTGCATCCCTGTCTGACTCCCTTCCTACTATTTATTTCTCTACGTTGCAGCCCCAGCTCTATAACTGCCTGTTGCTCTTTATACAAACTGTCTTTGTAACTCATCCCTACATTTTTAAATATATAAACAGAAAATTATTATGATTTACCTGTGATATAAATCGATGGCCTTGCATATAATATCGATTCCTTTATCGATTTCCTTGTTTAGGTAGCATGCTTTTCCCTGGTCATAAAGTTCTTCGCAAACTTGATATTCTGCCACCCTCTTCGACAAATTAACCTTTTTTTTACAATTTGAACAGTTTACCGTTTCATTTTTAAGTGGCAGGGTAAAAACTAAATGGCAAGTTTCTGATGGACATCTACGACAAAATTCCATAACTTTATAAACCAGAATTATTAAAAAAAATTAAATACATAAACAAATGAATAAACTAATGTGTTTTATCGTTGTTATATTTTTTACACTTACGTTATTTTCTTGGTGACATTTCTTAAACCATTTTTGATACTTGGCCAATTTTGAGTGCATGCTAAACATTGACATTGAAACCAGTATCGACCGGCTAAAGATTTTTGCCTTTCCTCTAAATTTTTCCAGGTAAAAATGGGACCATAGTTTTCTGAAACCACTTCCTTCGGGTTGATCGGACGGGAAGCTTTTATAACAATGTGTTTTCCAACAAAATACCTAAAGTTGGGTTGTTTGTTTGAATACGATTTATGCCAAAATAAAAGAATAAATTTGCATGGCGTTTTCAGTGTAGTGTTTGGAAAAATTCTGTTAGTAAATTAAAGTAGATTACATAACAGTTCTTCATTATGCTCAATAAAGTACCAAGCACCTTTCTCTAAGCGAACGGACTCTATTATAAAATTAGTACAATTTTTTACTTTTTAACCTTTATCTAACTAAGGTCCTTTCGAACTTATGTAGAATCTTAAATATTTATAAATAAGTTGGATTGCTTTCTATTTTTCTAAAAGATAAGTATCACNCGATTTATGCCAAAATAAAAAAATAAATTTGCATGGCGTTTTCACTATAGTGTTTGGAAAAATTCTGTTAGTAAATTAAAGTAGATTACATAACAGTTCCTCAAAAATTGAGGTTCTGTACCGTGCCCATAAAGAAGTAAATAATATTTTTTTACAATAAAATGAGATCATTTTTGGGTTCCTGACGTCATTTCTTTCTAATTTCACTTATCACGAAAAAGAGGATAACCAAAAAGCGACACTAAATCGAACACCAAGGTTAATATATTTTTTTTTTAAACGATTGTGAAAAGCCCGTGTTATGTCACTATTTGACGACGCCGCTTAATTTTGATAATGAGAATGTCAAACACTAATACACGGGCTCATTAATGAGTGACAAATTCGTGATAATGATAAGCTTTTAGCGTCTGCAATTGAAATACAATGGAAATTCATGCTGGTAGATACCTATTGGATCATTATATTAGAAAAACCATTGGATTAACTTAAACGTTTCATAAATAATGATCACTTTACGTAATTTATTGTTAGTCAAATTTAAACTGGTTGGAATATTTATTGGCAGTTCAATTTTCATACAATATTGCTTAAATAAATTTTTTTTTCATTAACAAACGGTCTAGGGCAATAATTATAGCATTACGTATTTTTAAAATTATTTTCTTCTTCAATTTTTTAATCAGAATTACATATAGCTTTTAAGCAACAACAATAAGGTATTGAATAAGATGAACGATCAATCGAAGTTAACTTTGTTTACTGCTGAAAGAAGTGGGAGGAGCTCGTGTTTCAATTGTTACGACAATAAATCGGCTACTTCTTGAATAGAAGTCAGCAGCACTATTTGAACTTGCAGCAATTTTTCACAAAATTGCATTAAAAGAAACAAAATAGGATTGAAGTACAAAGGAACAAAAAGTTCTTCAATACGTCCCTGTGCACCTATTTATATATGTATGTCGTCATAAATAATGTACATTAGTACCTGATAATTGTTTTTCTTAATGCAATTGTTCTCGTTCTATACGTATAGTGTTTTAAATTTCTTGAACTAATTAATTAGCATGTTTTACTCACAATAGTTTGATAATGTAATAGATGTATTCAGGCAAAACAATCGAAATATTTGGTAAATATTCAAAACACATCATGTTAGCTAAGTAATTTGGAATTTACTTTACTGAAGTATTAATAAAAAGAATTAGTTACGAAGGAGTTAGTTAAAGGGAAGAAGTACTTACATGATATTATGAAGACAGGGGACTATAATCAATTTATTTCTAAAAACTGTGAAATATGGTATAAAGGAAATTGATATTTCACAATACACAACAGTTCAGTAAGAAATTGATTTATGGTGATGGTATTTTATTGAATTAGAAAGTGTAATTTACAATGCGCTATTACATAAGATTGTAAAAAAGCATTGAACAAACAAGCAAAAAGCTAAATGCAATTAGAAATTGTTACAGATACGTATTATAATTCGCTAATTTAATGACAAAGAATTTTATGGCTTTGATACGAACAAAAACCGTAATAAGAATCATGAATGAGTTATCAAATTCGTACAATATGGTAATAAATTAACTCTTTTTAACTGCACTATGATTTCTAACTTAATTGTATTTGCAATATTTATTTATTCCTCCTTCGTCCTATAATAGGGATGCATTTTGATCACCAATCATTAATGGTTAATTATTGATTAATTACAAACAAACTAAATTGGTTGTGAACAATCTAGTTTATACTCGATTTTGGTAAATTGTGTGTGCTACCCTCTAATGGAGAATAGATCATGTAGAGTAAGTGGTTGTTACGACATATCGTAAGGTCAAAGGAAACTGTACTTCTTTTTTTTCATTTTTTATTTTAGTTCTTTTGGATTTGGTAATTACACTTATCAGTTATCATCTTGTAGGTTGTACTTGGATGTAGTTTATTTTAAGAAATCCTTAATTGATTTACAACATTGTTTTTTCTTGTTTTTTTTTTTTTTAATGTCCCTATTGTTACCTGATATTATAGGATGTAACTGGTTGTTCTATTACATGTGTATTGTGTACACAAATAATGTACGTACCCATATATTGTATTCAACTCATTCATACCTGGCAGCTAAAGCCTTCATGGGTGACCAACGTCGATTCCCATTATCAAGCAGAATAAAGCACTTAATTGCAGTACAAATAAGCAGTAAATGTGTCACCATTGTGTCAATTTTTTTTGTGAACGAAAAGTATTTGAAATGGAAAACTGAAAATGTAACGTTATTTGTTTTTTTTTTTTTGGGACAACATGACATTGCCTCCACATTGTTCGAAATTGCTTAATTTATGAATAATAATTATTACCTATTATTGTTATTATCACGGTGCTTAATTCCTAAATTTGAAAATTACTAGTTGTAATGTTGCGAAAGCATTTTATTCGTCGTTAGAGGTAATTTGTGTACCGTCCAATTCAGTAAATATTTCAGTTTTTCACCCAATTTTATGCGCCAATTTGATAACTATTACTACTACATAACTTCAATTTGTTTATTAGGTAGGTGTAATTGTTTAACAAGGATTAAATATAAAGATTTTGTTGATACAACGGATCTTAAGCTATGAAATTAGTTCTTTAATTAATTACAGTTATAAAGTAACTGCAAAGTAAAGAATGAGATAAATATCCAGTCGAAACTGATTCTGTTTACTTCTAGAAGAAGTGAGAGAAGTTCCGTGTTTCAGTTGTTACGACAACAAACCGCCCACTTCTTGAATAGAAGTGAACATTATATTAGAACTTGCAGCGCATTAATTTTTTTGTTTTTTACTCAAATTTAGCTACTAACTTAATAATTGTTTCAATTATGTAACTTTAATTTGCTTATTTGGTACGTGTAATCGCTTTAAAAGGTTAAAGATTCTAAAGATAAAAATGAAGATTCTATTGTTACAAGGAGGGTTATGTTTTGATCTGAATTTATTAATTAATTATAGTTTTCAAGTAAGTGCAATGTAAAAAATGAAGTAAATGACCAATCGAAGATAACCCTGCCTACTTCTAGAAGAAGTGAGAGAAGCTCCGTGTTTCAGTTGTTACGACAACAAACCGCCCACTTCTTGAATAGAAGTGAACATTATATTTGAACTTGCAGCAGTATAATGGTTTCGATTTTTACTTAAATTTAGGTACCAACTTAATAACTATTTCAATTACCTAACATTAATTTGCTTATTTGGTACATGTAATCGCTTTACAAGGTTAATGATTTTAAAGATAAAGATAAAGATTCTATTGTTACAAAGAGGGTTACGTTCGTTATGATCTCAATTTTTTGATTCATTATAGTTTTCAAATGACTGCAATGTAAAGAATGAGGTAAACTACTAATCGAAGCTAACTTTGTTTACCTGTAGAAGAAGTGAAAGAAACTCCGTGTTTCAATTGTTACGACAACAATCCGCCTACTTCTTGAATAAAAGTAAGCTTTGCATTTGAACTTGCAGCGGTACAATTTTTTTGTTTTTACTCAAATTTAGGGATTAACTTAATAACTTTTTCAATTATGTAATTTTTTAAAAAATAAAGAATCTATTGTAAAAAAAAGTGTTGGACTGTGAAATATGGTGTTAGAAGTCATGGTTTTGTTTTCTTCTTTTTGTTGTCATCCCATTCGTAGATGTCGATGTCTTACGATAAATTTGAACGAGTTTAGCTAGTAAGTACATAACATATAATGAATTAATAGGAAATAGCGTTTGTTTTTTTTAAGTTTTTAATGATTGAATCGTTTACATTGTGTTTTTACGTAATTTAATTGCAAGTAGACTTCAAAGAGGCAATTATTTCTGCATTGTTTTCAATTTTTGACGTGCGGATACATTTGTGGTATGATTTCTATTGCGGATGTTTTTTTTTAACTAATATTCCTATTATTTGCAAAACGATTTGGTTCGATGAACATTCCATGGGAACAAAACAAACACAATAAAATACCATCATCACTTTATCTATGCAAATTCGTAACGAACGCTATTTTATTATATTGTTCGCACATTGTTTTGAAACTGGTTTTAAAATAAATAAATAAATTCAAGAATGGAACAACAATTTTGGTAGCATTCAAAAGTATAATTTCGGGTTGTGGGGCGGGGAAGTCTGAGAAAAAAGAATTTTTGGTATATAGGTTAAAAAGTTGTTTCAATGTTAAATAGGGGCCTTAAAAAGGTTTAAAGAAGATGTACAATGAAACAAAAACTTGCCAAAAGGAAGCAAATTTAAAAATTTTCAGTTTGTGGTTAGTCTGCACGTGTTTTGATGACCCTAGTTAGAGGTAGTTTGGAATCTCATGGGCCACAACCTTGGTTTGTGCAGTGACAAAAGTCTACTTGTTCATTAATTTTTGTTTATCATTAATTAATAACATTTACACGGTTACCAGAAAGTCTTTTTAATGCAGCGGTGAATTCAAAATGTTTCTTGTAAATTTTAAAAAGACTTTGTTAGAGAAAGTGAAATAAAATAACACCGACGGTAATATACAGCAGTTTTTACTAAACAATTTTTATCTCAGAGTTTTCTGTTAAATAATATCCTAAGTAATATTATAAATGCGAATTTAAGTTTGTTTGTTCATTACAATTTCACGCCATAACTATTCAACCGATCATCTTGAAATTTTGTATACACATTTTCAGGGGTTCAGAAAAGGACATAGGGTATCTTTTATCCAGAAAAAATATACCGTTCCCGAGGGATAGAAAGGTTGGTTTTATGTGGTCGGATAAAAACCTAATAAAATACATTTGCAGACTTTCACTTTTTAAAAATGTACCTACGTGTTATTTTATTTAGAGATTCATTTTAACACCGAAAAGATTTACGATCAGATTTGAGGTAAATAGTTCGCATGATTTCAAAAGTTGTTTATTCTACAATGAAAATGCTAAATTCATTATTAACCACATTTTCATTGTAACAGATTTATTAAGCTCTGAATTGCGCTTTTTCATTGTTTATCAATTATACAGTACAATATTTATTAGGTACAATTATCGAATAGAAGGAACATGATTCGAAACAAATTTAAAAAGTGAGAATTGCAAGTGCATTTAGATCAAATTAAACCAATTTTGGAAGGAATTTTCCTAGATGAAAGTTTGTTTATTTTGATTTATAAATAAACAAAGACTAATTAAGGAAAAGCACTTGTAACTAAAACGTGATTCACTCACAACAAGTTTAAATAAATAAAAAAGATGCTTAAGTAGCATATCTATTCAAAATAAATTTGAAAAGGACGACAGCACGAAATGAGAAAGACAACCTAACACGTACGTTACAGTCTACAACCTTACCACCACTTATTAAACCTTACATTGTTCGACAGTTTTCATTTGACTATTGAATACAATAAACATCAGAAGTAGTTTTATCGCTAGCTGTTTTGTTACTAACTAGCAACGTTGAAAGTTTCCAGTAGTGATACAGCGATCGGGAAAAAAGGCGGGCAATTTGAAACAACGCCAACAAGACAGTCGAAGATGTGGTGCAGTTGTTATTGCTAATTGTTCTTAATATCTAGTGTGTTGTATTTTTCTTGTTTTTTTTTTTTGTTTTGGACGTACGAATATGAAAAAGAAAACTATTATCACGCAGTGTGACCATACAAACCAAAAATTACCACTGAGGAGAATTTTGCGGCAGTTCTTAGCAACAGGTAGCTATAAAATTGTTTTGTTTTTTTTTTGGTAACGGAAAATTTTATTTTGTTTTTATTATTTAATCTGAATATTTAAAGGCCATGAGGCTAATAGTCTTTTGGTTTTATCATTTTAACATATGTAAGTGTAGATTTTGTTGATAAGAAGGCCCTTCAACGCCAGCTTATTTACTACCTGTTACAGCATTATTATTATTATTAATTGCGTGTTGTAATTAAATTTTTGAGAACAGAAAAATTTCAATAATTTTCTTCTTTTTAAGGAAAATTGTCTTTTTTAAAAAAAGGTAGGTTCTTATAAAATTCCAAGAATATTTTCGTTATTTTTCTTCTGTAAAAATGTAATAAAAAAGGAACAATTCTTTTACGTTAATAAGTAAATTCTTGTACAGAATAATGGTGATTTAGTAA